GATTTCATCTAGCAACAAATAATGTTTTTTTATGAACGAGCACCGTTATGGTTGTCTAGGACACAATAGACGAAGTTGTAATGAGACTTTATTGTAGATATTACTGGTGTGTTTCTCGTGACTGTAATTTTCTTTTTATTTTGGAAAATTGTACATTGAATTTAGATCTATGTACAAGACCACTATAGAATTATTTGAAAATTAGTCTAAACTATATGTTATTGGATGTACACAACTATTATATTGGGATACGTATTAGTCTAAATTAATTCTTCTAAAGTAAAAAATAAGGGTATATGAATTCACAACGAAAGTACGTTGCAAGTTATTGTAAACAAGGGTTCTTAAGTATCTATCTATATTTTGTTATTGATTGTTAATGAATCAAACAACTACGAGTTGATTACATCATACATTTCTTGTCGGCAGTTAACGTGCATCAACGGATACTACTAAAATAACTTATGAGATCACTTATCCATGTATTCAAGGATGGATGAGAATATAACTTAGAATAGATATGATATAACATATCATGTGGTGAGTCGTAGTAATAGATATTCTAAAGTTAGCACATAATAGATATTCTAAAGTTAGTACATAACTAATGACGTATGATGTTCTATTTATTGTGATTGTTTTACAAGCATTTTTTTAAGTATGAGGAATGTCCAAGCAAAAAAGGAAAAAAGTGCTATAAGCTATACTCGCATGAGTCATAGTCGATATTCCTACAATTTAAGGAACATATTAATCATTGATGCCTACATGTGAACCATAGTTATTGATTACATGACCTATAGAATATTGCATTCATTTATCTGAATTTATATTAACAAAATTACATTGATTAATATAGGTATTTGAATTTTTATATGAAGTTCTTACAATTGCTTTAAGAGTATGAAGTTATGTGCCTGGGGTATATTGAGTGTGACCCAAGGTATACTTATCTAATAAACAAGTTGTATCGTTACGTATATAAGTATTTATATTGCTATGTGGGTATCAATTTAATAAATATGGGTATTTAAGTGATTATCAAAAATGTTTCATTGATTATGACTAGATGAGACGGTTGTGGGTTGAATAGATCATTGTTATTTCATCGAATATTGGTGTTTATTAATCAATACTATTAAAACAATTACTGAGATCATTTGTTCATGTATTCAAGGGTGGATGAAAATGTTATATAAGATAGATTTGACACAACATATCATATTGTAGATCATGGTAAGAGAAAATAGACAATAATAGACACATGAACAACCAACAATATAATATGATAAAGATATCAACAAATACCTTCAGTACTTAAAAAATCACTCTATACGAGAAATCACACTGTACAATAACATTCTCCGACACATACATGTCGAGTGTAATCCAAGAACTATAAAGAATTCTTCAACATAAAAACTTATTTTAATTTCATAGTCAATTCTAAATGACTGAGACTCGATGTCAAACATATGCACAATCACCCACAACCGATGCCAATGTAGTTTCCTTTTCGGACACTCTAGAAATACCCAAACAACGTAAGTTGTAGAGCTTGGTCGTTCATCCCAACTTTAAGTTTAACCATGTTTGTATAGAAGAAATGTATAGAGAATCTAGAGGTAAGCTATTTGTATTCTTTTCCGGGTCTACCATCCTTTCAAAATAAAGACACATATTCATGAGTATATCCAACACAAACACAAGTTTATGACTTAATTATGAAGGTAAGTAAACTTCTATTTGAGGTATATAAATTAACAATCAAAGCACATCAAAGGCAATGAAAGACACTCGCAAACAATATAAAAAACAAACAAAATTTTCACTACTCGACAAAATAGATACATATATAACTAATCCTATAACAGAGACATCATCCAACACCTTAGTACTTACAAAATCGCCCAACAAGAATAAGTTGCTTACGGTTGTCGAAGAAAACAAGAAGTACAGTCTGTTTCACATCCCAATCATTTTACTATGAATGTAAACACATAAAAATGAAAATGAAGATATTTCTATAAACAATAAGATCATTTATGATTTCAAACATATCAAAGTAACTCATACTCGACATGATGGTGATCAAAGTAAAATGACCCTCCATTGAGGCTTCTACGAACCCAATCAAGGCACATATAAAATAGATCTAAGTACACTATGAACTCAAAATTTCAATCTTACCAAAAAGCATAAGCTTTAATTTAATTTTTCGAACTCCGCTTTGGAAGGTCTTTTTCGACATATCGAGTGGAAGCAGAGCTCTAGGTAGCGAGGAGAGACTTCTGACGGCAGCAAAAGTTTCTGCGGAGAGGTTCGTCGAAGATTACTTTGGTGGGGGGGCTTTACCGGTGATGGGTAGTATGCGAAACGAATGGTTTGGAATAAATATAACATCAACAACTTCAAATAATGGGTTCTATTAGAGTTTCGTCTTGTTTTTTAGTTTAAATTTATGTAACTGATTTTAGTACATATATAAAAATTTATGGCACATGACTATGATATTTTCTTGCTACAACGGGATAATTGTGGAGTACATAATTAGAGGATGTAGGTTTATATAAAAATAACGGAAGTACACATAGTATTCGTCAAATTATATGGTAATTTTCAAGGGCAAAATGGGTATCAGAGAGTCATGTGTAATTGAAAATGAAAAGTAGGAAATGCAGTACTAGTACAAAACAAAAGGGAACTGAATTTAAGGGAGTATTTGGGAAAGAACTTTTCGAAGAGTTTTTTAGCTTATTAAACAGTTTTTAGTTGTTTGACAAGTTAAAAAGTTAATTTATGTGTTTGGTAAATTAGTTTTTCGAAAGAGTTTTTTGGACCAAAAAGCTAATTTATAAAAAATTAATCTACCCAGCGTTTTAAAGAGTTTTTCACTTTAATTATTGTTTATTTACCCTTACAAACCATTTATTCATTTCATACATATAATAAGTATATTTTTATTACAGTATTTATTAATTAATTTTAATATATTTTATTTTTTAAATATAAAATAATTACTATTATTAATAATTACATATAAATTATTTTATTTGTAAAATATATAAATTTATTAAGATTAAATCAAATAGAAAAAATAAATATTATTAATATATTTTTATTATATAAAATTTACATTAAAAATAAAGAAAATAGAATAAATTAATAAACAATAACTAACATTATAAAAATATATAAGAAAGATTTTTTCTCTTATATTTTATACAATTTCTATAAAAATTTATTATTATTTTTTAATAAAAATATTTTTTCAAATCTAAAAAATAAAAATAAATATTTTATAATATATTTATAATTTGCAATAATTAATAAAAAAACTTTTTAAAATTTTTAAACTAAAATGAATAAAATAAATATTTTAAGAAATAATATATAAATATTCATAATTGTCATTTTAATATATAATTATTGTACCAAATACTTTAATATAAATAAAAAACCGCTAGCTGATTGAATTAACGCTAATAACTATTTAAATCAGTTAAACAACAGCTAATTGTGGAACTCACCTAAACGTTTTTAAGTTCAGAGGAATTTAAATCGGTGCACTTAGGGTGTGTTTGTTTGGGGGATTGAATTTGGATTTACACTGTTCATCTAATTTTTTTTCTCAAAAAACATCAAATCAAACACTTATTTTTTATTTTTTATATTATACTAAAAATCAACATCTATTTATATCACATCATACAATTATTCAAATTTAAAATTTTTACTATTCAAATTCCAATTCAAAATCCAAACACCCAAACAAACACAACCTAAATAAATTCCACAGTAATTATCATTGGGAAATGCGAGTGTTTCTAATTATATTTATTGGGTTTTGTGCAACGCTACAGTTGTTTGCTGCTACTGCTGTTTCGGTTTGGGTTTCTGTTTGTGCCGTTGCCGCCTCCCTCCTTCCCTCGTGATCGGAGAACCCAGGCCAGCATCACTATCACCATAGGAGTATATATATGTACAATATCACCGTCTCTGTTCTTGTTCTTGTTCCTGCCAATCACGTGCCCTCTTTTGACTGCAATGTCCAATCCCCCACCCCCACCCCCACCCCCTCCCCCACTCATAATTTTTCTCTTAATCACCAAATACCCATAACATACATACATACATACATATGTGTGTCGCCTTGTTCCTTTCTTGCTTGTAGATGTAAATATAAATATAAATATTAATGCAAATGTATGGATCGCATTGCATAATTCATAATTATATAGTATATTATTCCTGTGATATATAGGCCCAGTGTAACGAGCTAGCAATTCTTTTTTTTGTTTTTTTCTTTTATAATTGGAATTTAAACTCATGATCTCCCCGGATTTTCTTCATCTCGTATAAATGGAGTAATTAATTACTTAATTAATTGATTGATTACGTCATCAATGGAGTAGTAACCCACATCCACGTCCAAATTCCAATCCTCCTCCTTTACAATTACAAAGCAAAGGGTCAGTCATTTAAAGACGAGTCTGGATCGCAGCAATTTTGTGTCTTTGTCGTACGCACACAACACAATCAAGAACGAATATAATATAACCTAATACTCCCTCCGTTCCATAACAAATTATCTATTTTTCTATTCTAGTCGGTCCTATAACAAAGTATTCATTTTATTTTTTTAGCAAGTGTACTATCTTCCTAACATTACAAATATCTTTACAATTTATAATATATTACACAAATATTATTACTTTTATATCACATCGTACTAATAAAATTATTTTAATCATTTTTACTTTATTTCTATAACTCAAAATGAATATATAATTATGAGATAGAGAGAGTATAATAAATCTATCCAAAGCAGTTTGTTCAAACAAAAAACAAGCATATGCTGATTATTACACATTGATCGCTTTCTTTCCCGACTACTATTATATACTATTTGCTCGTACTTGGTTATTCCTCGGAGAGAGAGATATATATAAATCCTCCGATCCGGCTCCACACCGTACCCCAGCAGCTTTTATATAAACCCAGGCCCAGCTCCCTCAGTCTCCCTCTACCGACCTACCTACCTACCTACCTACCTATTGTTCCCTTCTTCATCCTCCTCCAAATTCAATTCCTTCCAGTAATCGATCAATTGGAGAAATGTACCAGCAGCAACAGTCGCAGAGCAACTCGTCGTCCTTCTCCATGGACGAAGAGCAGCAGCAGCAGGAAATGTACAACTCCTACTCCTACTCCTACTCGTACAACAACAGCAGCAGCAGCAGCCCTAATTCTTCCGTGGACTGCACACTTTCCCTCGGCACGCCTTCCACACGCCTCCAGCACTCCGCACCACATCACCATCACCATAAGAAGCGCACATCCAGATCAGCCTGGTCGAATTTCTTCTCTTCCGACAACAACGAAAACGCTGCGCCGCCGCCCTGCAGAAACGACACTCTCCTCGCGCGGCGCTGCGCCAATTGCGACACCACTTCTACACCCCTATGGCGAAACGGCCCACGTGGCCCCAAGGTCATTGAAATTAATGCATTGAACAATTTTTAATTAAGTAATTAATTAATCACTCGCTGTAGCGGCTAAGCTGACAAGGTCATGTGTTGCAGTCTCTCTGCAATGCTTGTGGAATTCGATACAAAAAGGAAGAAAAGAGAGCCATGGCGGCCGCTGCCGGCTCGAGCCATAGAAGCCACGCCGACTCACAGTACATGATGATGAGCAGCGCGTGGACGGCGGCAGGGGGAGCGGCGGCGCCGTACTATCCTTCGGGCTATGGCAATGAATACGAAGACGACGTCGTTTACCAGCAGCACGACTACGACAACTGGCGGGCAAGGTTTGTTCACGAATGATGACGATGATAGATGATTGAATTCAGTTCATTAATTGGACATGAATCATAACAAAAACAAACACTGCTGAAAGAGCCGCAAATCGACGAGTCAGTCCCATGATAGCGACGTACGGACTAAAATTAATTAAACAAAGTGTTAGTAAGTGACTGAGCTGACTCGACTCAGTCATGATTATTATTATTATTATTATTATTCTTTTCTTTTTCAGATGATTATGAATTATTTATTTGTATTATTATTATTAATTATTTTTGTTGGTGAAGATATATAGTCGGGGGTGAGGTGAGGTCAGTCTAGATAGATGGTTGAGTGAAAAGGAGTTAATTCTATATGTGTCTGTGGTGGTCAGATTTTGCTTTCTCTTTCTTAGCTTTCACTTCTTTTTTTGTATTCGGTCAAAATTCAAATTGCCATAGCCATTTGCCATTCATTTGTAGTGCCTTTTTGCGCGTTTGCCTGTCTTCATAACCCTCCTTTATTATAAACTGTTCTTATGTATTTATGTGCTGCCCCAAATCCCGATTGACCTCTTTTGCCATGGGATGGTTAAAATCAGCGTTATGTTGATTTTTCAATTCATCACATCACAATTTATATGTACAAACAACATACAATATTATTATATACAGCACATTGTGTTTATAATAAAAATATGTGCTATTTTTTTTTTTTTTTTATAATAACAAGTGTGTTGTATAAGAGTATGTCATCGGCTAAAATCAGCGGTTGTGTGCGCTGTATATATGAAACTATAATATGTGATGTTAGTTCATTTATTGTTGAAATTATAATATGTATTTCTTTTATTTGTGTGATATATTTGTATTATAGTAACATATACACTATATACACAGTGTGTTGTATATGCTATCAAACAAGTTCAACACAGTAATGTATCCCCCGCCCTTTTGCCATACATATAGGCAGACAGAGGGGATTATTTGATTACATTCGTTTAAATTATTTTTTTCTAATATATCCGACTTAAAGTTCATTTCAATTCATTAACGTGATTATTATCCATCTGATCATTAAGAGAATAAATGTGACTTTAGAATTGTTGTGAAATACAAGGGTTTGTCGATCGATTTGAAATTTAAATTTTATTTAAATTTAATATTTTTTTATAAAATATAATTTACAATAGAATAGAAGGATAAACATTCAAGGTTGTCTTATTTCAACTACCTCAAAAATTATTTCTACAATATGCAATCACAACAATTTAGAAAGAACTCGAATGTTGTAACACTTCTTATAAGTTATTGTATTTACAATAAAATAAACATTTTATATAGGAATTAGGAGTAATAATAAATTGTTGCATATGATCCAAAATTTGACATTCCAAAAGAATAACTTAGTAAATTAAGAATTATGAAGGTTTGTTTGGTTGACTTTTCCAAATTTTATTTACACTATCAGCACATAGAATACTTTAAGAGTTTGAGATTAAAGCATATATAAGTCACTTAATTGAATCTAGCTAGATGAATCTGAAAAAAAATCATACTACTAGGTAGACTCAAGGTGCTCTCGAAAGCAATACCTCGCACAAAATTGGGCTTAGAAAACATTATAAAAAAAATAGGTGGCAAACTAATTTATTGATTCATTAGTCACGAGTGTTGAGGAAAATAGCTCGCAGGCCAAGTAAAAGATGTGTGTAGAAATAGAATATCAGCACAATAATCAATAGCTAGTTTAGCTTTTCAGAGTACCTATAGATCAAATAGTTTCTAATTCTCGAACTATTTAAGTGAGGAGATATTTCTTTGGTTTACTAGCACGCAGCACACTCACGCACGAAGTTTATACATATATCGCACTGATCTATACGCACTTGGAGGACATTCTTTCTCTTTTCGCATGCATTAGTAATACTAGCATAATAAGCAAGTTACTTTACTCTTTACCTCACACACATTAATTCAATCCACAAGTAAATTTTTTAATAAAGAATTGCGTTAATTCAACATGACTCATATACTCACAATTATTTCCATTCAAAGTTTCCCTTGCACCAAGACCCTGAGTTTGACCCGACACTTATCGGTTATCATGAGAAAAATCTATTATTTGATGAAAAATTCTGGGCTACAAGGTAATACGTACAACTAAAATCTAAAATTTAAATCATCAATATGTAATTTTGTTGTGAAGCAATTCACCAAATTTAACTAAGAATGAATTGTAATTGTTCGGCTAAGATACTAGTAACTTTGTAGAACTCATGAAGATGTTGCACAATTATTTGTATTTTCATGAATAATCCATTTTTCTTCTGACCAAATGTTAAGTTTGTGTGTAATGTTGTAACATCTTTCTAGCATCTTTTCTTCGCCTATTCAGTATGTATTATATTAGACATTGGAAAATCTTTCTATATTGCAAACCAATTGTGAAGCTTGTATATATTAGCCACTAAAATATATCAAACAATTTAATGTTTGTTGAATTTTAAAATGATGTCATACAACTTAGAAAATATTGAGTCTTGTATTTAAGCTCATCAAATTTTGTGTTTTATAATATAATATGAAATATTTTCCCATGCACACGTAAATGCTAAACTAAATTGAACATAATTTAATTAAAATATGATTACTTATATATATTGACGAAATTCTTAAAAAAATCACAAGCGATTTAAATAGTTTTGCTTGTCTCTAAATCTTAGAAAACTATGAAAATAATTAGATTAAAATAATTTTTTAAATTACTATTTAAATTTGACGAAAGAAACAATTATCCAATCATTCGAATCGAGTAAATGCAATCCAGTAAATTGAATGTGGTATTGGCGATTCAAATTCATCGTCCAGATTTTACTTACATGGTTACACAATTTCGACCACATCATCCGGTATTAGCGAAGGAGATAAAATATCTGAAACTTTAATATTTTGGATGTCTCCGACGTTTCTTGCGTGATTGATTGATGTTGGAATAATGACAAATATATTATATTCATCTTCATCGATCTCATCCATTAATTTTGGTTCTATTTTTTTATTTTTTTGTTGTTGAAATATGTCTGCACGCAAGGAGGAAGGAGAGGCAGAGACGGTTATGTTAATTAAGGGTAGGGAGAAATTACTCTTATACCCATAAGTTAATACAAACCGTTGGATCAATTTTTGTAATCTAACGGCTAATAATAGATTAGCATGATGTTAATGGGTGTCTATCAACCGTTAATCCCACCCATATATATATATATATATATTTACGATATTGTAATGAGTTATAAATTAATTAATAGGTAAAGTAAAAAAATTATATATAACTAAAGAAATACAATAATTTGGAGATATTTCAAATTTAAAATAATAGTATGAGATTTGGGATAAAAGGGTACTCCTTCCGTCCCCTGTAAGGTGCAATATTTTGATTTCGGTACGAGAATTCAGGTGGGTAGAATAAAGTGAGAATTATGTAATTTGATGAGAAAAAATTATATATATATATATTTTATTTGAGTGATGTAATAAAATAAAATATAATTAATTATTTTTTATTTTGAAAATATCGCCAGAATATATTGGATAGACTAAAATAAAAAAATATTACAAAAGATATAAAGGGGTTGAATATATAATTCTGTCTCCGTCCCAAAAGAAGTGTCTTATTGAGAGTTGACACGAGAATTAAGGAATAATAGTATTTAATTGAAAGTGGGTATAAAATAGATTGTAAATGACTAAAATGCCTTTATTTTTTTGAAGGATTTTAAAGAGTATGTTAGAATAATAATTAGAGATAGTACGGAAAAGTAGGAATAATTTTGTTATAAAGTAGAGACCACCACTACTAAATAAGAAAATAAAACAATTATTTTGAAACGGACGAAAATAGAAAAACAAAACAAATTTTTTGGGACGGAGGGATAAAGAGATATGAATGTAAAATTGATAGGCCCTTGTACACTATTGGCAATAGATAATATATATCATTTCGAAGAAGTTGCAGAGCATGCACACCATTGGTAAGCCCTTGTACACTATTGACAAAATCCCAGAAAGGATCATTGGAATTTATCCGTGCCACCAGGCAGGCGTTGGGGGGTCGAATGGCCGGCCCCATCCCAAATACAAATTGCCATCATTAAGTGTTTTGTCCTATTATATTACAAAAAGACAAAAATCCAACATGCATGGTCATAGATGATACTCTTGTTATAAGGGTGGTTATTATTATTATTATTATTATTATTAGGGTAAGTTGATATTATTCGATAATTAGATTTTTTTTATTATTTTGGTTTGGTAATAAGAGTCTATTACAAACTAAGTTTGTAAATAAAATTTTTTCGCAATTTTAGTCCTTCGACGCCGAAAATGTTTACGTGGCACTCATATGGCTCGCCGGAAGACACGTGTCCACCAGGTCAGACTTATAAGTGGACACGTAAATTTTTATTTTTTATTTAATTTTTAATTTTCAAATTTTTTTGAACATTTTTAATTTTTTTAAAAAAAAGACAATAAATAAATTAAAACTTTTCATTAAAAAATCTACGTGTCCGTTAGGATCGTTGACCTGGTGGACATGTGTCCTCTGACGAGCTACGCTGGTGCAACATAGACATATTCGATGTCAGATGACTAAAAGTGCAAAAATTCTTTAGTTCCGGGACTAATTTGCGATAAACACTAATTACGAGACTAAAATTATAATGAGGTCCAGTTACAGAACAAAAAGATCGGTTTACCCTAATTATTATTATTATTATTATTATAAATGCTATTTTTCCACCACAACTACTGTTATACTATAAGTGGAGCGGAAGGGAGTGTTTTGGTTGGTTGTACTTGTACTTGCAAAATTAATTAAGACAACAATGTTATGTTAAGTCCTCCTCAAAAGTAACGACATTCATTCATTCATACATATTGTATCTCGAAATCTCAAAGCTAAGAAAGAATTGCTGTCTTTTAAGAAATTAAGTGGGAGTGGGAGTGGGAGTGGGACCATACACATATATTATGGAGTAACATTCATTGTTGGGGAATGGAATGAAGTAAAGGGAAAAAGATATCAAACTCATTGTCATGGGAATGTCTTCTGTCAGATACATTCTTCATTTGCACATATATATTATTCTATCACCTTTTATTTATTTTGTTTTATTTGATTATTTAATTATATACATATATATTTACATTCATGTATATCATTAAATGGGAACGGTGAGGATGCTTTATTGGGATAGGTGAATTCTTAGTATGCATCCCCTGAAGGAACCGGACGTGATAATTTTTTATCATCCGGCTCGAGCAAGACTCAACGTAAAGAATCTATGTGTTAAATGTATCTACACATATGTGAATGATTCAATGTAAGAAAAATTGGACTTTTTTTTTTTTTTTTTTTCCAAATTGAAACTATCTGTTACAAAGAATTCAGTTCTAAGTCAAAGTAAATACTCAATACTGAAATAGGCTTACAAAGTTGATCATGATATGATCAAGGGTGATTTGAAAAATCAGCATCCGTAATATATATAAACAACACACAGTTTTATTATACGCTGCACATGTTATGCGTAATAATGAGAGGTGATGTTGCTTTATAGTTATAGTGTGTTGTATAACAGTATGTGGTGTGCTGA